CCAAAAATGATTATAAGTTATAACTTATAATAATATAAACTTATAATAAGTATGACTATAATTATGACTATAATTATGAAGTATGACTATTATTACCATAAAAATAGTTTAAATTAAAATGATTAATTTAGTTTTTTTTTAAATAATTATATGATTGTTCCAAAAAATATTTAACACTATCATTTAGAATAATTATTTTTATAATAATATTAACTATAATTATAATCATTTTCGATTGCCAACAAATATATATGTGTTGATAGAACTATACATATATAGAATGTTCTATTTTAATTGCCCTAGGTTAAAAAATATTTTAAAAAATATATAAAACACGAAAAATGTTTTTTAGTATGTTTTGTTGAAAAGGATTTTCAGGGGGATGTATTTTGATCACGTTGTTATTTCTTAAATAGAGGCGTCAAAAAGATATGAAGGTCATCTTCATATCTTTTTAAAAATAGGATTATGTGATTCTTTTTTACATAATATGATTCCTTCAATTATTCTGCATATGAAAATATTAAGATAGAGAAAGATATAAAAAATCAATGGTTTATGGAATATTTTATACCTTATTTTGGCACATATTGACATGAAATATTAAATATTTTGTGAATCATTTTTGAATAATCACACACATATCTTAATATTTTTAATACTTTTATAAACAAATAAGAAAAAAAATGAAATAAATTAATTGATGTAAAGAAAACATACCGCACTGATAGATGTTAATTCTATTTTTTATGATGTTTGCTTTATATTAATTTATCATTTATCTCATTATTTTTTTCATAGATTTAGATGGATTTAAATATTTGTGTATTATAATCAGAATTAATTTAGGCCTCCTCCTAGAGCCTCCTACAGCCTCCTATAGCCTCAAGATTGTGATTTCTGCAATCTTCGTTTTAGATCTTTAGTTTTACGATCTGTACCCTTCTCTAGATCTTTAGACTTATATAATTATACAGCCCTAGAATAGTCTAGAATCTTTGAAATCAACTTTTGTCTTATAAAAATGAGATATACGTGGGAACAATTGGGCTCGATTTGCAATCTATTGATTATAAATCAATCATTTTCACAAGGTGCCATGCGTCACCATAATAAACATGTAAGTAATTTAACATCCTTTTCAATATAAA